AATGTAGTTCTTCGCTAGTATTGCTGCTCCTCTATCATTTAGGTGTAAACCAGATGCATTAAGGCTAGAAGTATTTATATCACTATTGGAAATAAGAGACCAGTTATTATTCTTACAAACCTTTGCCAGGAGAACATTCGATTTTTTAACTTTTGTATTCAATTTGTCATCTGCCCTCTGGATGATCTCTGAAATAGCGACTTTTGACAAGCCGTTCACCATGATAGTTCTACACAGTGATTCAACTTCCTTAGCTATCTCCTCGGGCTCTTTATGTTGGATGTCATTTGTTCCAACGTGGATCACGACTAGTTGGGGATTTTTCTCCAGAGTAAGTTTAATATAATGCTTCATGTCCGAAGTAGTTGCTCCAGGAAACGTCTTGACTATAATCTTTTTCCCAGTCGAACGGCGTAATCTTGAAGGACTTAGTTTCTTTAACATCGAGTCTCCTAGGATCGCTATCGGGCCTTCGGTAGACTTTGAGCTTGAGGCATTGTGTTGTTGTGTCGGTTCGACCGAGTATCTTTGCTTTTCCTTTTGGTGTTGTATTCTTCTACCGGAGTTTGTCGAATTTTCTATATGTGTTGAACTAGGGGTGACATTATGATCCATATCTTTGTTTTCATTAGATTCATCAACCGCCAACGAGGCATATTGATTTGGTTCTAAAATTTGGTTGCTCGCTTGATTAATACGTCGCGAAGGTGTTTGGTTCTTTGTTTTACCTTGGGTTTTACTTTCTATTTGTGTCCATACTTGAGATTCGTTATTGTTTGATCTAACATTAATATCATCAGACTGGATTAAGCGAATAGCAGTTAGTAAACTGGCTTTTTCATCTCCGGCAACCTTGATTATATTATTTAATTCCGATATTGTGTTTACATGTTCATTGAGGCGATGAATTAGTTCTGCATTGTCCGTCTTTAATTTACAGTTTTCCTCACGTAATCGATCAATTTCTTTTTCCTTCTCGGCATCTGGGTTCCTTTCCAATTTAGTAATAAGTACGTTATTTTGAGGCACCCCGAGGTGCCTCAAAATAACGTACTTATTTTTCACACTGCGAGGTCGCGTTAATGAGTCAGAAAAGAAACAATTCTTAATGCCATATTGCCTTCGCGATGTTGTTTTTTCTCATTTTTTGTGCTGCAAAGACATTGCAGGTGAATATTAGAGGGGATTATTAAACGGAAATTGATTAGAGGGGAATATTGAATATATTCACCGATAAGAACAAAGAAAACCGAGCAGGGTGAAAAATAAGCAAACTCATTCTGGATCTGACTTGATGCAAAATATACGACCATTCCCCGAAGAAACTAGGTAAGTATGGCTTTATTTCTTTGTGCTAATATTCATCAAGGCCATGAACTGTTTAGCGTTCATTGTGGAGGCAAGCAATGTGCTTTTATGCACTGTTAATTTTAGGGTGTTAAAATAACACCAAAAAGTGGTGTTAAAAAATTAGGTAAAAAATGACACTACTTTTTGGTGGTATTTTAACACCACTAAAATAGTGTTAAAATAACACTAGATATGGTGTTAAAACAACACTCATTTTTAGTGTTAAATTAGCACCAGTTTTGGGGGTAAATTTAACACCTGTTTATAGTGTTAAACTAACACCACTTTTAAGTGCTAAAGTGACACCAGTTTTAAGAGTTGTTTTAACACCTATAGTGTGGCGTTAAAATAACACCTGAATTTGGCAGTGCCAAAGCAACACTTCTTCCTATCTGGTGCTAAAATAACACCAGATTTAAGGTGTTGATTTAACACTTTCAACTAGGCACATTAAGACACACACAAAAGAGAAATATAGGTTCAAAATTGGTTATTATTATAAATTACTCGCTGACAAGAAATACCTTTAACATGCATGAATTTATATGAACTAAGTATTTATCACGATTAATTTCGGAGTCCAAGCTCACTTAAAAGTTGTTGTACAGAAATTTTGTTCTCGGCATCAGCAGGGCAGTTTAAGGTTCTAGATTCTAGAAATGCATAAACACTCGAAACACCTGGAGTGTATTCCATATTTAGAACATGGAAATGTGGCAATAAGTATGTGGAATATTTTTACCAGCAAAACGCAACTAAATTTGACCCACGGCAGCAATGTACAATGGGTCCAAGGATGCAATGTCACCTGATGCCAAGATTCGAGGATAGGTTGATTTCCTCACTTCTTCATCAATGGCCATTGTCCGTCATCCTAAAAGTATTCATTTTCACATTAGTCTATACAGTATATATATTTAGTAATTTTATATGTTGTCAAGTTCTGATGCTTGAACAAGAGTTAAATGTTGTATTCTGATTGGCTTTACGCTACTCGTTATCTAAATGTCACTGAGATATCTAGCTAGAGCGCAAACCATCTCTTTGTAGAGACAAATAAGCATTGATTACATGCAATGATAGGATAAGAGATGTGCCATGATCTCACCTTAACACTACATGTAGCAATTAATATTTTTTCAAAAGGAGTACAGTATCTAACAGGGAAGCCATCGAGCAAGTGTCACCTAGCTGAACTATATATTAATTAGTCACTGGTACAGACTGGCCCGTACAGTCCAATTGCATTTTACCATTGAAAAATAATATCGATACATTGCCATTTTAAGAAAGAAAAATTACCCCCATTATAGTGTTAACTGTGTCAAATGGGTCATTTGTCGTGGATGGATAAGAGATGTGCTATCCCACCTTAACACTACATGTGGTAATTATTCTACTTTAAAATGAGAATCTGTTGCAATAAGAACTTAATTAGGTTTAGTGTATCTTCTGACATGGTTGAGAAATTTGACATATCATAATCAATATTTTCACTCTTAAATATTAATACTCAGGACTCTCCCATTGATAGCCCAATGATAGGTAAAATTATCTCTGTCATTATACCGTAAACCCTCCGACTATAAGCCCCCCAA